ATTGAAAGGAAATGTGCTCCATAGTACTATAAAAAGAGCCCATGACTTTGAGTTTTATAAATTCCAATTGAAAATACTTCTAACTCAGATAAACTAACTTTAGTTGTTTGAATGGTATAAAGCGTTCAAAGATTGTTTTGTGCAATTGGTGTGTAATTGAGATTGGAGGGAGAAAAACTCTATGTGATTGTAATAAATTTTAACTTAATGAATTTTCATTTGTGGGCCATAATTTTTCTGTGGTATGAAGTTTTCCACGTAAATTATTGTGTTTCTTTGTTGGTATTATTTTCTTTTAGTTTTTCAATTATTTTATGTTTATTCGTGTAGTAAAAATAGATGTTTTTGCATCACTATTTGAAGTGGCAGCACTGTGTCAGATCAGACAGCACCAACAATATTATATCTAAAAGTTTATAGATTTGAATCTCTACCTTCATATGTATTATAAAAGAATGCGTATAAATTTCAAAATTGGTACTTAAGCTGATCTCACGACATGAAGTTTGAATTTTGACAATCAAAAAAACAAATGCAAAATTTATACATCAGATAATCCAACATTTTTAAATGTAAGGACCAACACGAAAAAGTATGAACGTTTACGAGTAAGAATATGATCGAAACAAGACAAAAATATGAACGATTAAGTACGATGAATTGAGATTAAGAGGTGCAATAATTTGAAGATGATGTGGGTGATTATGTTTGGGGAAACAAGAAAGTGACATATAAAGTGAGATTGATAAAAGTTAATTATTGAATTTGGAAAATGTCTAAATTAACTACAATAATTCAATTTGTCACATCTACCAATATGAATATAAGTTAAATTAATGAACCATCTCAACATAATAGCGCAAAAGATTAAGGAATTGACGGTCCATGTTACATTTGTGTAAATAAATATTCTTCCCCTAAAATAGTGGTTATATTAAATATAAAAAGAATTATTTAAGAAAAAAAAATAAGAGAAAATAAAAAAAAAAATGAGGGAAATATAGGGATGGTGGAGATGGGGCATGGGCCATACATATTTCCAATGTACAAAACAAAGCATTAAACTTTTAGCTGTTTAGAAAGCGCCATTTTTTCACACACCAATCAAATTATTTCTATTTTCAATATTATATTCCAAACACTATTTGTATGTATATATATATATTTTTTTTGAAATCCGTATGTCCGAGCCAGTTTGCGCAGACTAATCACGGGTCAACCGCCTGACCCTACTAGATTTGGTTGACAATGTAACTCGTAGGATATTACATCCTAAGATATCAAACACTATTTATATATATAAATTACTTTTTTTTAAGTACTATTTTTATCTTTGTATTATAATTTTTGTTCATTTTACTCATCTTAATTTCCAAAGCCATTTTGGTAGCAATACTTTTAAAAGTGATTATTTTTATCCATTTATTTTTATTTTCATATCATTTTTTCTATCTTAATTTGTCAGTTTTAGCCTAACATCTTATTCACCAAATTTCTTCAACTATAACTATTAAATTGTATTAAACAGTTGTCGACCTAAACCTAGTTCAACTGGTTCAAGGACATATCTCCAACTACAAAACTATGAGTTTGAATCCTCACCCTCACTCGTTGTACTATTAAAAAAAATGTATTAAATGGTTTTCATTATATATAAAATTTATGCTGACATTTCGTAAATGGAGATTAAAATGGTCCATTTTAAAAATTACAATAACCAAAACAAACGTTTTAAAAGTATGAACAGTTGAATGTACGATAAAAAGTATAATAAAAAGTACAGGAACGAACCAAAATGAACAAATAAATTGATTAAAATAATATTTAACAGACCTCTTCTGTTTTTCTCTCTTTTTGAGTACTCTCTCTATGATTTTTGGTCCTATAAAATTAAGAGAGTAGTACAGAATAGTACACTAAAAATACTGTGGGTTCTTTACAAATTTACCGAAGTAATAATATTTGAATTTTTTTAACCTCGACAACCCACATGTCGTGTTTAGATAATTATATGTTACAAAGTTTTTATGTATTTATTATGGTACTTACTAAATATTTAAATGAAACACATTTTTATTTTTTAAAATTTTTAACCGAATAACCAAACCATTACGAAAATTTAAAAGTGTTTTAACAGAGTTAAAAGCTTAAAATAATATATTTTCAATTAAATATGTTTCCGTACATTGTTTTATCCTTTCTTTTCCTAAATTTTTCTCTTCTATTATCCAGAAATTGTTATATTCAGGTCCGACTACCACGGCGGCCCATGACCGTCTGGCGCCATTCGGGTAGGCCCAATTTAAGGCTAATGCGGGCTGCTGGGGCCTAAAGGCCCAATAAAGAGCACGAAATTCCCACAAGCTTCCACCCTTTTTGGATAATATATACTTTTAACCGTTAAGCTATACTCATATTAAATATAAAAGTAAGAATTAAAATCCGGTAAGGTTTTAAATATTGATGTCGATATTTAAATTTAATAGAAATATCGATAAAATGTTGATGTTGATGGATATTTCTATAAATGTTATAAAAAAATCGTAACAAATAATTATTTTACCCTTTCAAAATAAGTTAAAATGATTATTATTAATACATTAGTGATATTTTGTTGATATTTTGACGATCCTTTTTTAAATACTAAGGAAATATTGATTTACCACTCAGGTTGATGTCAAACCTATTGCCACATGAAAAACATTGATTGAAATTTTGACATGTTTGACATAAATTTTATTGCTTGAATGTGGAAAGGAATTGAAATATTATTATTATTATTATTATTTATCATTTTTTAGTACAACATGTGAGGTGAGGGATCGAACTAACTTCTTGATTGAAGATATATACCAATTACCGCTGAGCTATGCTTGCTTTGACAAAATATTATTATTTTATTATTAATTTTGTTAGGTTGAATTGAAATATTAATTGTCAATACTCGATAGCAGTATTTATATTAAGCATAAAAAGGTTAAAAGTGTAAAATCGCGGGGTTGAAAGTCTAAAGTGATGACAAAAATCAGAAAAGTAAACATGAAATATAAAAGCCAAACCCCACCAATGTTGATAATTTTGGCATTGGGGTTGGTTGTTCTTTATTTTTATTATTATTATTTTTTGTAATTACTTTTTAGAGATAGGCAGTCGTTTATGACCATCACAACAACTCTAGTTATTGTCAAAATGTCCCACTTTTCGGTATTCTTTTTTGACTTTTGGCCCTTTCTTTGTTGTTTCTGAAAAATATTCCTCATCATTTGGAACTTAGATTAAATTATACGTTTTTTTTTCCGCCTATCTTGTTACATGTGATACAAATTTGAATAAGCTTAGACGAACAATCAAGACACCTAACTCATTATCTCGAGGTCAGAAATTTGATCTTCATTCTAATAATTGTTATAAATGATCCATCTAGCAAACTTATCGTAATTTGAAATTTTTTACAAACATAGTCTTTTTGTAAAGCAAATACGGACCCGTTTGATAACGTTCAAATTTAACGTTTCTTATTTCTTGTTTTCAGTTTTTTAGAAATGTGATTTACACGAGCATTTGGTAATTGTTTTTATTTTTCATTTCTCACTTTTAAGAAATATTTCTAATATTGTGAGAAATTTTGACGAACAACAAAATCAAGTTCCATTTCTATTTCTATTTCTGGGACTTTTTCTTTTGAAAATCATGAATAATAACATTATCTTATCATTTCTTGCTGATAAGAGGCATAATAAGTATATAAAATATATAAAACTGAGAATCTCTATCTCATTCTAATAGCATTTTTCTTTTTTTCTTTTTTTTTTTTTAAAAAATCTAGTGGCATTTTCTTTTTGACATCTCTTACATGTATTTGAATGGTAAACATAGCCCGCCACACCTTTGACTTGTTGTTTAGAATATGGGAATGGCCGCATGAAATTATTGCCCCATAAAAGCATGCTTAATAACCACGCTTTGGGCGGCTCTTAAATTTAGTATATGACTTAATTGTTTACATTGACCTTTGACAATCACTTCAAACACTAATAATTCTATAGGTGAACCAATGAAGAGTTGAACTCGTGAGGTATAAAATATATAATTAATTCATATATCGACTGGTAGACACCTTTCATTTTAGAGAATTGGATGTGTCCGTTCATTTAATATATAACCGTATTATATTTTTCTCAAATTCATTATTTATCCCACTTAAAAGTACAAAAGAAAAAAGTCAAAGATGTAGTCCTTATTAGCTTTGATGTGATATATATAATTTATTAAAAGTTTTCAATTTCATCACTTTTTGAAAATAGATTCATATATATAAGTTGACTCGTAGTCGTTCAAATAGTCACGATTTTGGTTATAATTTTGATTTCAAAACAAAGAAACGTAACAATTGGATGGAAAATTTATATATGTGAAAATATATAGATGCTATTTATTCCAACAAATTTTAACATTTAAATGACAACAAAAACTAATACTAATACACAAAATATTAAATAAAAAAAGTTTCAGAATGAAATGGAAATAAGTTCGATGAAATCAAACATGACAACAATTAAAAGTATTTAATTTTGGTTGACATTTTCATCCGATATTTTCATATGTTAATAAGTTCGACATCAATCTAAGGAGTGAGTCAACCAAGATAATAACATGCCTAATAATAATTAATAAAAAAAATTTAAGCCCTTTTAAAAGAAGTGAAAGATTAATTTATTAATTTAAATACTTCGGCTTAATATATTTAATTTTACAATTTTGCTACAAAATATTTATATGATATTTCCATAACATTAGAAATCAAAATCTAAAACTTTTTAAAATTATCCCGACGAACCAAAACAGCGCACGTTTCCATTTGGCTTCCCAAGGGACGGAGATGGAAGTGGGACCCATCCACATGGTCAGCGGTCAGCCATAGAGAGGTCGGGCAGGGGCAGGGGCAGCGGCCCATTTGCCACCATATAAAACCCCAAGTTTCGCCCAGCGGAGAAACCCCTCTTTTGTCCGCCTAATATATTTTCCCTCTGTTCTTCAACGCGATTTTATAGGCGGATTCCTCCTCCAACAATCCCTCGCTGCCACTCAAGGTATTCTCCCCTTTACTTTCAGATCCGCCACTCAGTTTCTTCAGATCGCCTTCTCTTTTCTCAGTTTCTGATTATATATCTGTTTCTCTGCCGTTTCTAATTGCTATTACCGCCCCAGTCTCGTGCAGATTTGTCTTTTGGTAAAAGAGTTTCCTCTTTTCAGATCTAAGGGTTCCCCTTTTTTCTGGGTTTGCTTGATTTGTGTGTTGTAGTTCATGTTTGATTCAGATCTCATGCCCCTGCCCTTTTATTGATCTGCCGTGTAGTTTTTTTTAAATGATGCTGAAATTTTGGTTTGTAAGTTATTTTACGGGAGTCCTGGTTTGGATTTTGTTGCGATATGTAAATTTTATCGGCCCCCATGAACTGATTTTTTAAAATTAATCTCCTGTTAATCGTACCTTGACTTGGATCTGAATCTGGTGTGTGCGTTTCATTCTTTTTGTTTTTGTTTTTGTATAGAGATTATCAATTATGGCGTCTTTATTTTATAATTACCCTATTGATTTGAGTTGCGTTGGGGTAGCGACATGGAATAACCCGAGTGCTGCTGCTTTGTTTTAACTCTCCACTTCGCTTTTGTCATTTCAGCTGTGATTTCGTTAATGTTATTTTTATGGGTTGATCTGATGTATAATCATTCACTTGATGTTTTACTTCTTGTATCAAAATTCCCCGAGACTTTGTTTTAGCTTTATTCTTTTTCTGTGTGCAACTGAAATCTATCTGCTCTTCTGTTGGAAATTAGAATCGTTTACCTTTAATGTTTATCTTTTTTCTTCTCTAAATTTGGAATGAAAATTTATTATGAATCTGGTATGGGCATTGGTTGCAGCGAAGAAGTAGCAATGGCTGATCAGGTTCAACATCCCTCGGTCTATCAGAAGGTTGCTGGTCAGCTCTCCCTTCAGTCTAGGGTTTCTTCGGGATTCCGTGCCTGTGATGATGGCTTTAGGAACCCTGCTCTTTATCAGAGACGTGCATCAATCAGAAACTACACAAATGCTGGATTTCAATATCCTGCTGTGCAATCCTGTGTTGCTACAACTGATCTTTCCAGAGTTGCCTCAACTGCCTCCCCCATTTTTGTTGCCGCCCCAGCTGAGAAAGGAAATTTTATGATTGACTTTCTTATGGGTGGGGTCTCGGCAGCTGTATCCAAAACTGCCGCAGCCCCGATTGAGCGTGTCAAACTCTTAATTCAAAATCAGGATGAGATGATCAAAGCTGGACGGCTGTCTGAGCCATACAAGGGTATTGGTGACTGTTTCAAACGTACAATACAAGAGGAGGGTTTTGGTTCATTGTGGAGGGGAAA